TTTTCCTGACCTGCCGGGCTGCGTGCTTGAATAAGGGTCTGGTAGGAATTTGGGGTGGGCATTTTTTTTATTTTAGAGGGGAGTTACCCTTAAAATCCATATCCAAACTGAAAAGGTCTGTATCGATTTGGGGGACCTACATGCTGTTTTTTTAATTCATGCCATCACTGGATTATTTATATTCTGCTGTCAGCATGGAATCCTGGTTGTTAAAGTGTTACTAAACCCCGGTCCCTGCATTCACTAAATCCGCTCTCCCCGGACCCCGCATTCACTATATCCGCTCTCCCCGGACCCTGCATTCACTAAATCCGCTCTCCCCGGACTCCACATTTCACTGTATCCGCTCTCCCCGGACCCTGCATTCACTATATCCGCTCTCCCTGGACCCTGCATTCACTATATCCGCTCTCCCTGGACCCCCGCATTCACTATATCCGCTCTCCCCGGACCCTGCATTCACTATATCCTCTCTCCCCGGACTCCACATTCAGTGTCCAGCAGTGTCGTTAGTCAGTGCAGCCAGTCAGTGCTGTCAGTCAGTGCTGTCAGTCAGTACCACCAGTCAGCAGTGCCCATCAGTGCTGCTGCCTATCAGTGCCCATCAGTGCTGCCTATCAGTGCCCATCAGTGCTGCCTATCAGTGCCCATCAGTGCTACCTAACAGTGCCCATCAGTGCTGCTTACCAGTACCTATCAGTGTTCATCAGTGCCTATCAGTGCCCATCAGTTCTTCCTATCAGTACCTATCAGTGTTAATCAGTACCTATAGTGCTCATCAGTGCTGCCTATCAGTGCTCATCAGTGCTGCCTATCAGTGCAGTGCAGCCAAAATGTACCGCAAAATGGTATAATAGAAACAAAGCAAAACTTTTTTTAAAAAAGTTTTTTGATCTTTTTTTTTATAGTGCAAAAAAAAATGAAAACCCCGGTGATTATTAAATACCCCCAAAAGAAAGCTCTATTTGTGTGAAAAAAAGTAAAAAATGTCATATAGGTACAGAGTTGCATGACCGCACAATTGTCACTGGGTAGGAAGGGGGTAGAAGTGCCGACAGGCAGGAAGGGAGTAAAGTGTTCGGTAGGCAGGAAGGGGGTAGAAGTGTCCTGTAGGCAGGAAGGGGGTAGAAAGTGTCCCGTAGGCAGGATGGGGTAGAAGTGTCCGGTAGGCAGAAGGGGGTAAAAGTGTCCTGTAGGCAGGAAGGGGGTAGAAGTGTCCGGTATGCAGGAAGGGGGATTAAGTGCCCTGTAGGCAGAAGGGGGTTAGAAGTGTCCGGTAGGCAGGAAGAGGGTGGAAGTGGTGTCTGGTGGGCAGGAAGGGGGTAGAAGTGCCCAGTAGGCAGGAAGGGGGGTAGGGCAGGAAGGGCAGGAAGGGGTAAAGTGTCCGGTAGGCAGGAAGGGGGTAGAAGTGTCCGGTGGGCAGGAAGGGGGTAGAAGTGCCCAGTAGGCAGGAAGGGGGTGGGAAGAAGTGTCCGGTAGGGCAGGAAGGGGGTAGAAGTGTCCGTAGGCAGGAAGGGGGTAGAAGTGCCTGGTAGGCAGGAAGGGGGTAGAAGTGCCCGGTAGGCAGGAAGGGGGTAGAAGTGTTCCAGTAGGCAGGAAGGGGGTAGAAGTGTCCAGTAGGCAGGAAGGGGGTAGAAGTGCGTATAGGCAGGAAGGGGAAAGAAGTACCCTGTAGGCAGGAAGGGGGTAGAAGTGTCCCGGTAGGCAGGAAGGGGGTAGAAGTGCCCTGTAGGCAGGAAGGGGGGTAGAAGTGCCCTGTAGGCAGGAAGGGGGTAGAAGTGTCTGGTGGGCAGGAAGGGGGTAGAAGTGTCCAGTAGGCAGGAAGGGGGTAGAAGTGTCTGGTGGGCAGGAAGGGGATAGAAGTGCCCTGTAGGCAGGAAGGGGGTAGAAGTGCCCGGTAGGCAGGAAGGGGGAAGAAGTGTCCGGTAGGCAGGAAGGGGGTAGAAGTGTCCGGTAGGCAGGAAGGGGGTGGAAGTGCCCAGTAGGCAGGAAGGGGGTGGAAGTGTCCGGTAGGCAGGAAGGGGGTAGAAGGGTCCTGTAGGCAGGAAGGGGGTAGAAGTGTCCGGTAGGCAGGAAGGGGGTAGAAGTGCCTTGTAGGCAGGAAGGGGGTAGAAGTGTCCGGTAGGCAGGAAGGGGGGGGAAGTGTCCGGTAGGCAGGAAGGGGGTAGAAGTGCCTTGTAGGCAGGAAGGGGGTAGAAGTGTCCGGTAGGCAGGAAGGGGGGGAAGTGTCCGGTAGGCAGGAAGGGGGGGAGTGTCCAGTAGGTGAGGGGTTAAGCAAATCAGTGATACATACAAATACAAATCATCAGCCATTGTGTCAGTTGGCAAAGTCTGCACAACACTTTGTATTTGTGGCCCCTGAGGCAAAGTGGAAAAGATGTGTAAGTCCTGTAGGTCAGTACTTCTGAAATAAATGTACCACTGGGGGGAGGCAGATTTTTAACTCACAAAAGACACACAATGGAGAAGTGTCACTAGTTGGGTTTATTCTGTCATGGGATTATTATTTTTCATGATATTAAAGGCAACTTTTAAAAAAAATAACAAATATGTTGTACTTACCTGCTGTGTGCAGAGGTTTTGTACAGAGCAGCTCCAATCCTCCTCTTCTTGGGTTCTCCTGCTGGTGCTCCTGGCCCCCATCCCTCCTGCTGAGTGGCCCCCAGAGAGAGAAGCTTGCTATGGGGGCACCCAAGCAGGCTTACTCCCAGTCCCCGACTTAGAGCGGAACTGTGGGACCGTGGTGGACATTCTGACACTCGGGGGGGGGGGGGGGGAGGTCGGTGGAAGGGGTCGGGGGGGGGGGCGGGGGGGGAGGAAGGGGGGGGGGGGGGGGGGGGGGAAGGGTCCTAGAGGGGGAGTGGCGATGGGTAGGCAGGAAGGGGGAGGCGTAGGGAAGGGTGGGGAGGGGGACCGGAGGCCGGGCATGAAGAGGTGGAGGGGTGTCTGGGAGGGGGGGGTATAGGAGGGATGGGGGAAGTGGGGGGTGCGGAGAGGCGAGGGGGGGGGGAGGGGGGGGGGGAGGAAGGGGGGTGGAAGTGTCCGGGGGGGGAGGGGCGGGAAGTGGGGGGGGGGGGTGAAGGGTGTGGTAGTGGGCTCCGGAGGGGCTGGGGGGGGGGTGAAGTGAGGGGAGGGGGGGAGGGGCAGGGAAGGTGGGGGGGGGGGGGGTGGCAGGTGGCAGGGGGCGGGGGGGGGGGGGGGGGCGGAGGAAAGGGAGCAAGGGGGGGTGGGGAAGTGGGGGGGGGGGACGGTAGGGGGGGAGGCGGGGGGGGTCGGAAGTGGGGGAGGGGGGGAAGGGGCGGGTTGGCCGGTAGTGCGGGGTGGAGGGGGGGGTGAGGTAGGCGGAGGGGGGGGGGGGAAGTGCCGGGGTGGTAGGCAGGAGAGGGGGGGGGGGGGGAGACTTAGGTAGGCAGGAATGTGGGGGGGAAGGTATTGGGTCCGGGGGGGGGGGGTGGAGGGGGGGGGGGGGAGAGGGGGTGGAAAGGGGGCAGTAGGGGGAAGGGGGCAGGGCGTCGGGGTGTGGGAGGTGGATGGGAGGGGGGGGGCTGTGGGGAGATGTGGGGGGGGCTAGGGGAGAGCTCTGGCGGGGAGGGGAGAGGAGGGGTGGAGGCGGGCGGGATGGGGGGGGTGGTGGGGGGGGGTGGGGGGACTGGTAGGGGGGGTGGGGGGGGGTGGGGGAGGGGGTGGGGTAGCAGTGGGGGGGTGTGAGGCGGGGAGGGGATTCAGGGGGGGGTGGTCTGATGGGGCTGGAAATTGGGGGGTGGGCAGTAAGGAGGGGTGGGGGGCGAGTAAAGGACGTGGGGGGGGGGGTGTGGCTTAGGGGGGGCTGGAGGAGGGGGATAGGTGTGGGGGGGGCAAAGGGAAAAGATGTGAAGTGAGGGGAGCGGGGGATGGGCGGGGGGGGGGGACTAGGGAGGGGGGGGGGAGCAGGAACCAGGGGGGTGGGGGAGAGGGGGGATGGGGATCGAAGGGTCCGGGGAAGGGGGGCACAGCGGGGGGGGGGTAGGAGGCTGGGGATGGGGAAGGGGGGGGGTGGGAAGCGGAAAGGGGGGGGGTAGGTCAGGGGGGGGGGGGATGAGGGAGAGGGAGGGGGGGGGGGGGGAGGGGGGGGGATGGGGGGGGGGCATGGGGAAGGGTTGGGGGGGGGGGGTGGGGGGGTACTCAAGGGGGAAGAGGGAGAACTGGGATAAGGGGGGATAGGGGGCGGGGGGGGGGGGAGCCGGGGGGAGTGGAAGGGGGGAAGGGGGGGGGGGGGAGGGAGGGGGCGGGGGAGGGTGGGGGGGGGGGTGGGGCGGGGGTGGATGTACTGGGGGAGGGGGGGGGGCGGTGGGAGGGGGGTAGCAGGTGGGGGGGCACGGGCAGAGGTTGGGAACGGTACAGGGGGGGGGAGGGGTCCAGGGATCCTCAGGGTGGGGGGTGGGGTGGCGGGGGGGGGGGGGGCGGGGTTGGGGCTCCTGCTGGTGGGAGGGGGGGGGGGGGTGACGTGGGTCGGAGGAAGGGGGAGGGAGGAGGGGGGAAGGGGGGGGGAGCAGGGGGGGGGGGGGGGGAGGGGGGAGGGGAAGCGAGGGTGGGGGGGGGGGGCCCAAGGAGAGGGGGGGGGGGGGGGGGGGGAGGTGATGGGCGGGAGAGGGGGGAGTGGGGGGGAGCAATATTAGAAAAGGAGGATCAAAGGGTGCAGAAGGGGGGTTGTGGGGAGGTGACAGCGTGACGGGGGGGAGGGGGCGGGGAGTGAGGACTGGTTGTATTCTGTTCACTGGGGGAGGTTTGATTGGTTTTTTCTATACTCACATCCTTTCAGTTGACACTAATTAACAGTGGTGGACTTTCCTGCAGGGGGGGGGGGGGCAGGGGGGGGGGGGTGGGTGTTTTGTACTCTGCACTGATGGTGTAATATGGTTTCCTGTCCCCAGTGATCCTTTAGGAAGTGGGTGACCATTACTCTTTTTTCCTGGTCTTATTTTTTCACTTGATTTTTTTTTTTTGTTCTTTGATCAAATGGGTTTCTTTTCTTTGGGGGATTTTTTTTTTGTGTTTTTTTTCACATCCCAGTGACCTTTTTCTGTTTCTTTTGTTTTTTTTTTTTTTTTTTTTTTTTTTTTTTTTTTCTTCGATCAAAGGGTTAATTTTTTTGCTGTTAGCTTCATTCTCCTTTCTTCTCCGTTTTTTTTCGTTTCGGGGTCTGTGTGCTTCACTGTAATCACACTGCTCTGGATGGCTGTGCTGTGCAGTGTGCAGGAGCTGACAGGGAGGAGATATGTTAGTAAACAAAAACAGTTCTCCTTCCTGTTGGAGATACTTGGTAATCACCGGGCACCGGCGAGTAATCACTGGCCGGGAACCGGTGTGATTAACAGCCGTGGGCCACATATGGTTTGTGCGCCCCTTACCCGGAAATATACAAGATTTTGTACATCTGAGCCACCTTGTAGCAGTATTTCTGCTATAGGGCGGTCAGGAAGTGGTTAAATCCCTTCTTCAGCTCTGTGTATACAAAGGAGCATAGGGGGGCTGTTGTCCATAATGGGGGGTGGTAACTGACACAGCCCCAGATGATCCACATTGGCTCACGATTGATATGACCCAGAAATATTTTAGACAGAATTAAAGGTGATTAAAGCCCCCTGGACCGGATGGCATACACCCACGGGGGCCTTACAGAATTCAGCTCTGTCATCTCACAGCCATTGTTTCTCATTTTTTAGGGATTCTTTAATGACTGGCATAGTACCACTGGATTGGCACAAGGCCAATGTGGGGCCAATATTTAAAAAGGGATCAAAATCTTTCCCAAATAATTACAGACCTGTTAGTGTAACTTCTATAGTTGGGAAGATACTGGAGAGTTTAATAAAAGACACAGAGAGGAGTTCTTGCTGGAAAAAAAAATATTTTAAGCAACAGACAGCATGGATTCATGAAAGACAGAAGTTGTCCAAAACAATTTGATTTCTTTTTATGAGAGGGGGGGGCTATGAACATGATATACTTGGACAGAGGGGTGGTGGTGGTATAATACATAAGGGGGGGGGGGGGATATGATCTCCATGTATAATACATAAGGGGGGATATGATCTCCATGTATAATACATAAGGGGGGATATGATCTCCATGTATAATACATAAGGGGGGATATGATCTCCATGTATAATACATAAGGGGGGATATAATCTCCATGTATAATACATAAGGGGGGATATGATCTCCATGTATAATACATAAGGGGGGATATGATCTCCATGTATAATACATAAGGGGGGGATATGATCTCCATGTATAATACATAAGGGGGATGATCTTCATGTATAATACATAAGGAGGGATATGATCTCCATGTATAATACATAAAGGGGGATATGATCTCCATGTATAATACATAAGGGGGATATGATCTCCATGTAGAATACATAAGGGGGGATATGATCTCCATGTATAATACATAAGGGGGGATATGATCTCCATGTATAATACATAAGGGGGGGATATGATCTCCATGTATAATACATAAGGGGGGATATCATCTCCATGTATAATACATAAGGGGGGATATCATCTCCATGTATAATACATAAGGGGGGGATATGATCTCCATGTATAATACATAAGGGGGGATATGATCTCCATGTATAATACATAAGGGGGGATATGAGATCTCTATGTATAATACATAAGGGGGGATATGATCTCCATGTATAATACATAAGGGGGGATATGATCTCCATGTATAATACATAAGGGGGGATATGATCTCCATGTATAATACATAAGGGGGGGATATGATCTCCATGTATAATACATAAGGAGGATATGATCTCCATGTATAATACATAAGGGGGATATGATCTCCATGTATAATACATAAGGGGGGGATATGATCTCTCCCATGTATAATACATAAGGGGGGATGTGATCTCCATGTATAATACATAAGGGGGGATATGATCTCCATGTATAATACATAAGGGGGGATATGATCTCCATGTATAATACATAAGGGGGGGATATGATCTCCATGTATAATACATAAGGGGGATATGATCTCCATGTATAATACATAAGGGGGGATATGATCTCCATGTATAATACATAAGGGGGGATATGATCTCCATGTATAATACATAAGGGGGGGGGGATATGACCTCCATGTATAATACATAAGGGGGATATTATTAATATTATTATCAGTATTTATAAGGCCAACAGATCTTGCTCAGCGCTGTACATTACAAAGGGGGACAGGCCCCCCCCCCCCCGACATGTGACAGAACAATACCATACAATGCAAAACATGAGGGGGGATCGAGGGCCCTGCTTCCTTGGAGCTTACAATCTAGGAGGGAGGGGATGTATAATACATAAGGGGGGATATGATTGCACAGGAGGATATAGCTGTGGGGGGATATGGATCTCCATGGTATAGATACAGTGGAGGAGGTCGGCAAGTGATCTCCATGTAGCAGGGGGTGGGGGTATAATACATAAGGGGGGGAGGCTCCCTGAAGAGATGGGTTTTCAGGGTGCGCCTAAAGGAGAGGGTAGAGTAGGTGATAATATACTGATGGGTTGGGGCAGGGATTCTCCAGAGGATGGGTGACACCCTGGAGAAGTCCTGGAGGCGGGCATGGGGGGAGGAGATCAGGGAACTAGAGAGAAGGAGGTCTTGTGTATAGGAGCGGAGTGTGCGTGCTGGGCGGTACTTGGATATTAGGTCGGTGATGTAGTTCGGGGCAGTATGGTGGACAGCTTTGTACGTCAGTGTTAGGATTTTGAATTTGATCCGTTGCGCAATCGGAAAGCCAGTGGGGAGGGATTGGCAGGAGGGGGGTGGAGGCCAGTGGAAGGATTGGCAAGGGGGGGTGGAGGCCAGTGGAGGGATTGGCAGTGGGGGGTGGAGGCCAGTAGAGGGATTGGCAGAGGGGGGTGGAGGACACTGAGTGGAGGCCAGTGGAGGATTTATAATACAGAGGGGGGGGGAGGACACTGAGTGGAGGCCAGTGGAGGGATTGGCAGAGGGGGATGTGAGGACATTGAGTGGAGGCCAGTGGAGGGATTGATCTCCAGGGGGGTGGAGGACACTGAGTGGAGGCCAGATCTCCAGGGATTGGCAGAGGGGGGTGGAGGACACTGAGTGGAGACTCAGTGGATAGGATTGGCAGAGGGGGGGGGCGGTAGATGGATTAAGCGGGGGAAAGGTGAATACATTGATATGTCTGGCAGCCGTGTTCAGGATCTCCATGTATACTGAGCGGGGATAGCCAGCGGCCAGGTTAGGCCAGTGAGGAGGGAGTTGCAGTAGTCGAGTCGTGATATGATAGGGAAGTGGGTGAGCTGTTTAGTGATTTCTGGGGTTAGGAACGTAACGGATTTTTGGCGATGTTGCGGAGGTGGAGTCTGCATGTTGCGGAGGTGGAGTCTGCATGTTGCGGAGGTGGATATGTCTCCACGAGTTTGTTAAAGATTGGGGACTTGGGGCTGGATAGGATAGGTAAGAGTCCAGATATGACACCAAGTACTAATGGCCTGCGGGGCGGGTTTGATGGTAGCGTTTGTTGGATGTGATAGAGAAGTCAGTGGGGGGTGGTGATCCCATGCTGGGGGGAAAGACAAGAAGGGGGGATATGATCTCCATGTTTTACATAAGGGGGATATGGTTCATGTTTAAGGAAGTGGAGCGATATCCAGTCTGATATGTATCAGTAGGTGTGGGATGATTCGGACAGAGACCGAGGGGGTGAGGTGGGGGGTTGAGAGATAGATTTGTGTGTCGTCGGCATATAGGTGGTAGTTGAAGATCTCCATGTATGAGTTGGCCAAGGGGGAGGTGTAGATGGAGAAGAGAAGGGGCATAGGGGGAGGATGATGGGACCCCAACAGTATAATTACAGTGAGGGGGGAGGTGGTAGCCATGTATAGGTAACGCTGAAAGTATAATACGTTGGGGATGACAGGTAGGATAATAGAGCCAGGAGGGGATATGAATCTGTGAGGCATAAGGGTGGGGATAGTTTTTTGATACAGGAGGGGGATGGTGGACTGTATAATACATAAAGGGGCAGAGAGGTCCAAGTAGGAATACTGAAGTGGGGATATGATCTCCAGCTTAATACATAAGGGGGGATATGTCGTTCCAGAGTTTGATAAGGCAGTAAGGGGGTGTATGGGGGGAAGCCGGACTGTAGGGGGATCGAGGAGGTGGTTGTCGTTGAGGTGGGGGAGCATATTGATCTCCATGTATAATAGATAAGGCGGGATATGAGGATTTATATGTAAATGGGAGGGGATATGGGTCTCCAGATAATACAATCGGGGGGGATTGGGGTCCAGGGATGGCTTTTTAAGTATGGGGGGGATATGTGTGCATGTTTCAGAGGGGGGGAAATGTCTCCGGTAGGAATAGGGAGGGGGGATTGAAGATGTCCATGTATTGAGGGACGTAGGATGGGGGGGAGGGATCTCCATAGGAGTTTTGAGGGGGATAGGGTCAAGGGGGGATAGGTGGTGAGGCGGGCATCAGAAGGATCTTGGATACTGATCTCGATGGTAGTAAGGTCAAAGGTGCGGAGTGTTGGGGGATTTCAGTATGAGGAATGTAGGGTAAGGGGTGGAAGATCTCCATGTCAGAGCAGTGGTGGGGCCATAGGGATCACCAGGGTATGATGAGGTGGTAGCTGAGCGATGGGGAAGGAGGTTGGAGGGAGATTGAGCAGCGACGAATAAGTCCCTGTGGGTTATAATACATAAGGGGGAGGGATGATGAGGGGGTAGCTAATGTGATAGGGGACGGGGAGTTTGAGAGGGGGGTGTGATTGCGGCAATACCTTTTGCGAATTGTGGGAATATTGTTTTTGAATGGATATAATAATCTCAAGGGGGGGGGAATATGAGGTGCCATGTATAAGGTGGGGGGGGATCTCCATGTAGAGAGTTGATAGGTGGGGAATGAGTCTCCATGTGGATTGGGGAGAGTGTCTCCATGTATAATACATAAGGTAGGCTTGTTTCCATGCGTGGAGGGGGGATGTCCATGTGGAATACAGATTTTGGGGGATATGGGTCCAAGGTATAATACATAAGGGGGGTTTTGATCTCATAGTCGTATAATATGTCGTTTGGGGGGATATTGATCTCCATGTGTGATCAATACATAAGGGGGGCGGGGATGGGGTCTGATGTTGCGTAATACATAAGGGGGGATATGATGAGTCAATGTATAATACATAAGGGGGGATATGATCTCCATGTATAATACATAAGGGGGGATATGATCTCCATGTATAATACATAAGGGGGGATATGATCTCATGTATAATACATAAAGGGGGATATGATCTCCATGTATAATACATAAGGGGGGGGATATGATCTCCATGTATAATACATAAGGGGGGATATGATCTCCATGTATAATACATAAGGGGGGATATGATCTCCATGTATAATACATAAGGGGGGGATATGATCTCCATGTATAATACATAAGGGGGGATATGATCTCCATGTATAATACATAAGGGGGGGTATGATCTCCATGTATAATACATAAGGGGGGGATATGATCTCCATGTATAATACATACATATCTCCAGGGGGGGGGGGTATGATCTCCATGTATAATACATAAGGGGGGATATGATCTCCATGTATAATACTAATATGATCTCATAAGGGGGGATATGATCTCCATGTATAATACATAAGGGGGGATATGATCTCCATGTATAATACATAAGGGGGGGGGGGGTATGATCTCCATGTATAATACATAAGGGGGGGATATGATCTCCATGTATAATACATAAGGGGGGGGGATATGATCTCCATGTATAATACATAAGGGGGGATATGATCTCCATGTATAATACATAAGGGGGATATGATCTCCATGTATAATACATAAGGGGGGATATGATCTCCATGTATAATACATAAGGGGGGATATGATCTCCATGTATAATACATAAGGGGGGATATGATCTCCATGTATAATACATAAGGGGGGGATATGATCTCCATGTATAATACATAAGGGGGGGGATATGATCTCCATGTATAATACATAAGGGGGGATATGATCTCCATGTATAATACATAAGGGGGGATATGATCTCCATGTATAATACATAAGGGGGGATATGATCTCCATGTATAATACATAAGGGGGATATGATCTCCATGTATAATACATAAGGGGGGGGGATATGATCTCCATGTATAATACATAAGGGGGGGGATATGATCTCCATGTATAATACATAAGGGGGGATATGATCTCCATGTATAATACATAAGGGGGGGATATGATCTCCATGTATAATACATAAGGGGGGATATGATCTCCATGTATAATACATAAGGGGGGGATATGATCTCCATGTATAATACACATAAGGGGGGATATGATCTCCATGTATAATACATAAGGGGGGATATGATCTCCATGTATAATACATAAGGGGGGATATGATCTCCATGTATAATACATAAGGGGGATATGATCTCCATGTATAATACATAAGGGGGGATATGATCTCCATGTATAATACATAAAGGGGGGATATGATCTCCATGTATAATACATAAGGGGGGATATGATCTCCATGTATAATACATAAGGGGGGATATGATCTCCATGTATAAATACATAAGGGGGGATATGATCTCCATGTATAATACATAAGGGGGGATATGATCTCCATGTATAATACATAAGGGGGGATATGATCTCCATGTATAAATACATAAGGGGGGATATGATCTCCATGTATAATACATAAGGGGGGGATATGATCTCCATGTATATAATACATAAGGGGGGGGATATGATCTCCATGTATAATACATAAGGGGGGGATATGATCTCCATGTATAATACATAAGGGGGGATATGATCTCCATGTATAATACATAAGGGGGGATATGATCTCCATGTATAATACATAAGGGGGGGATATGATCTCCATGTATAAATACATAAGGGGGGATATGATCTCCATGTATAATACATAAAGGGGGGGATATGATCTCCATGTATAATACATAAGGGGGGGATATGATCTCCATGTATAATACATGTATATAAGGGGGGGGGGTATGATCTCCATGTATAATACATACATAAGGGGGGGATATGATCTCCATGTATAATACATAAGGGGGGATATGATGATCTCCATGTATAATACATAAGGGGGGATATGATCCATGTATAATACATAAGGGGGGGATATGATCTCCATGTATAATACATAAGGGGGGATATGATCTCCATGTATAATAATACATAAGGGGGGATATGATCTCTCCATGTATAATAAATACATAAGGGGGGATATGATCTCCATGTATAATACATAAGGGGGGATATGATCTCCATGTATAATACATAAGGGGGGATATATGATCTCCATGTATATAATACATAAGGGGGGATATGATCTCATGTATAATACATAAGGGGGGGATATGATCTCATGTATAATATACATAAGGGGGGATATGATCTCCATGTATAATACATAAAGGGGGATATGATCTCCATGTATAATACATAAGGGGGGATATGATCTCCATGTATAATAATACATAAGGGGGGGATATGATCTCCATGTATAATACATAAGGGGGGATATGATCTCCATGTATAATACATAAGGGGGGGGATATGATCTCCATGTATATAATACATAAGGGGGGGGATATGATCTCCATGTATAATACATAAGGGGGGATATGATCTCCATGTATAATACATAAGGGGGGATATGATCTCCATGTATAATACATAAGGGGGGATATGATCTCCATGTATAATACATAAGGGGGGGGGATTGGATATGATCTCCATGTATAATACATAAGGGGGGGGGGATTATGATCTCCATGTATAATACATAAGGGGGATATGATCTCCATGTATAATACATAAGGGGGGGATATGATCTCCATGTATAATACATAAGGGGGGGATATGATCTCCATGTATAATACATAAGGGGGGATATGATCTCCATGTATAATACATAAGGGGGGGGGGATATGATCTCCATGTATAATACATAAGGGGGGATATGATCTCCCATGTATAATACATAAGGGGGGATATGATCTCCATGTATAATACATAAGGGGGGATATGATCTCCATGTATAATACATAAGGGGGGATATGATCTCCATGTATAATACATAAGGGGGGGATATGATCTCCATGTATAATATACATAAGGGGGGATATGATCTCCATGTATAATACATAAGGGGGGGGTATGATCTCCCATGTATAATACATAAGGGGGGGATATGATCTCCATGTATAATACATAAG